TCCACATTAAAGTGTTTAATGTCAATGAAGTAAATATGTTCCACTTGCATATGAAACTTCTATCTAATCTTATGCTTACATGTAAGGAAGTTCGGACAGAAGTTTGAGACTGCTACACTGAAAGTTGAGTCCTGCTAGAGAGAGAGAAATTGTAATGAAAAGCAGACAGCCTTTTGCTGAAACTTTTATATTTTAACTAGTGCTCTAGCTGGTTAAAAAACTTCTCACATACAAAACAGTTTTTTGTAAATTCTCTTTCATTCCATTTTTTTTCTGATCAACTCTATAGTGTTTTCAGAACCATCTTCAAAATATCTTGCAACCTTTAACAAATCCTTACAATATCCTTGAATACAGGTACCGTTAGTTCTGTTCTTAAGAAGAAAAGACTGGAGAAGGAGGTTACTTTTTTGCTGCAAGTTGCTCCAAATATGTGGGCCCATTCACAGTACACATTCAACAGTCTGTAGAATTTGGGGTCTAAGGTCATGAGGGTATTATTGGGAATTGGGAATAAAGTTCCATGGTTTCTGGCTCCCAGGTTTGTGCTTAGTTCATACCTCTCTATATTCATGTCAGCTATACTTTTATTTCAGAATAACCCTGGATGCAGCTGCTTGTTGGAATGGAAATGTCATATGTAGTGCCAACTATGAATAAGTTGAACTTTGTTCAGTTTTAAAATACTGCCCAACTTGCACCCTTGTGATAATGACCTGCATTAGATAGTCTACCTGTCTCTTCAGTTGCTTTACACATACTGATCACCTCAAGAATTAAAAAAAGGAGGTTTATTTCTAGAAAATAATCATGGATTCTATTTATTTGCTTATTGTTTTCAGCTTTTCTGTGCCCTTCTTGCTCACTTTCAAGTTTTCTCTGCAACTCAGTGTGCTAAAGATTTGTTTGTTCATTTTTAATGAAAGCTGAGCTTCTCATGTTTTCTCTCAATTCTAAGAGATTTGAAGAAAAGTCCCAAATGTTATGCAGCTGGTGTTTAAAATTGTGGAAGGTGACAACATTGCCAAACTATTCATTTTGTTTTACTCTCCTGTCACTTCAGCCACTCCTGAAATGCAGGATTATAGTAATAGAAAACTGGGTGGAAGGAAGGACATCTAGAGGTCATCTGATTCAGGGTCCAGCAACATTTTGCAGCAGGGGGTGGTTTAATGCAGTTTAGCTCTGAGCTTGGGTACTTCCAACCTGACCTGTGCTGCCACTATTTCTCCCTGCTCCCCAGCTGTCACATGCATGAAGTCATCTCCTCCACCTCTCCCCACAATTAAATGCTGCTGAAGCTCTCCAACTCCATAGGCTGTAGGTTGCCACTGAGCTAGTCTATTCCTTTGACTAAGGCAGATCAGGTACACTTAGATCAGAGGTGGCCAACCTGCAACATGAATGCCACAAGTAGCCTGGGTAGCCTCTGGGTGGCATGTAGCAGATCAGGGAGGGGACAGGCAGCACAGCAGGAGATAAGGTGGGAAGCAGAAAGCAGAGCAGAAGATCAGGCAGGAAGCACAGAATAGGGAGCAGACAGCAGAGCAGTAAAATTAGGCAGAGGAAGGGGATCAGTGTGGCACTTGGGTAGTGTGCAGAGCTAATTTGTGGCATGCGTGCCAAAAAGGTTGGCTCCTCCTGACCTAAACCATTCCTAATAGAAATTTGTCTAATGTGTTCTTAAAAACCTCCAGTGGCAAGTATTCCACAACCTCCTATGGTAACCTATTCAACTACATCCCTATATTTACAGTTAGAAAGCTTTTTGTAGTATCTAACCTAAATCTCCCCCGCTTTATTTCTTGTGTTGCCTGATGGACATGGAGAACACTTGAGTCACAGTCCTCTTGATTATAAACTTTTACAAACCCAATTTTTTCCATTGGCTGTTAGTTAAGCCTCTTATCCCTGTCATTATTCTTATTTTCTTTGTGCACCTTTCTTAAATATCCCCAAATTGGATATGTTACTTCAGATAGGGAAACAGCATTATTGTTGCCTCGTATTTAGTTTGTGGACTTCCATAACTCTCAGATTCTTTTCTACTTTACTGCTGCAAAGCCACTTATATTCTCCTTTTGGTATTTGCGCACTAGATATTTCCTTCCTAAGCACAATACCTTGCACTTGGCTTTACGGTTTGTTTTTTTTCAGCCCCCTGCTTCTATTTACACCTGCACAGGTTTTATAAGCATAATATATATTTCTCCAAGTTGCTGATGTAAATATTGAACAACGACAGATCCAAAACAGACCCTTGTGGGACTGTATTTGAGATGTCTTCCCAGCCTGCCAGGAGACTTTTGATAATTACTTTTTTAGTATGATTTTTACTAGTTATGAACCTATTTAATAATAACAATTGGGGTGGGGGAGTGGAGCTGAAGGTTCTAGCGCCTCCAAGTTAGAAACCATGTTGCTTTCCTTGAAGAAGGAAGTGGGGTTGGGGAAGGCTGCAGAGCTGTACTGACGGTCCCCGTACCTTGCTGCTCCACCTCGTGAAACAAAAGGTCTCCCATATCTTTCAAGAACTTATTGGATAGTTTGTGTCCTGCTGTATTGCTTTTCATGGGCATCTGGATAGTAGAAGTTCCCCATTTCCACCAGATACTATATTTTATATGTTGTAATTGTTCAAAAAATGCCTTTTCCATCACTTCCTTGCAATTTGGTTGATAGTAAACCTTTATTACAGAAGTTTTCAACATTTTTGGATCAGTGTACCCCTGGCGGCTGGATGTGGGGTAGGAGGTAGCGGTGGTGGCGTGCCGCCAGATGTGGTGTGGTGGCAGCCGCTGCAGGCGAGCTTCCCTCACGTCCAGGTGGGTGGGTGGTGCCTGCGCGGGATGGTGCATGGCAGCACTTTGTCCCTGCCCGCCCACCCACATGTTCCCCTAAGGCCGCCTCAAGTACCCCTGGGGGTATGCGTACTCCAGTTGACAACCCCTGCTCTATTATGTCATCAGCCCTGTTTCAATGTTATTTTCACCCAGAGCCTTTCCATGGGCGTCTCTCTAAGGGATATGTGTTCCTGCTAAATCATCCATACTTTCCCTCATCTCTCCTTCCTGAACAAGCTGTTCTCTTCCATACTCAGTTGCAGGATTTATTCCATCAGGTCTCTCAGATACTTTTTATTTCAATTTCACTTTGCCCTATTCACGAAACTTATGAATCAGTTGAAGAAAGAGCAAAGTTTTTAATAGCTCCCTCCCACCCCCAATGGCTGCAAAATTATGCAGCCCTCTGAAGTGTGGGTCGCCTGGTCTGCCCTCCCCTGAGGGCCCCCACCCTTTGGACACCTCAGCCCACACGTGCCCCACACCCAGCTCAGCTGCTTGCCCCAGGGGAGCGGGGCACTGGGGTCGGAGCCGCGCCCGCGCATTGCAGCCCACTGCTGGCGGGGGACGGGGGGTGGTGTCCTCCTCTCTAACCCCCCC